CCGACCTCCTGTGGGACCCGCTGGGGAGGCCCCTCCGAGGAGGCCCCATCTGGAAGCTCGCCGAGACGGTTGCCCCCTTGGGGGGGTGTGTGGGGGGGGGGGGGGGGCGCACAACTGGAGGGCCTCCCACGGTTTGCATGGGCATGCGCTAGGAGGGCCTCGCAGGGCTTCGACTGGTTTCAGCGCCGCACCATGGAGGGCCTCGCAGCGCTTCGTGGAATGTGCACCAGCCCGCCTGGGGTGCCTCGCAAGGCTTGAGAGTATTTGCAGCACCCCCTCAGGTGATGCCACCTCGAAGCTCCTGCAAGGTGGTGCAAGCTTCATGGAGGCCCCCTGGAAGGCCATGCAAGCTGCCTAGAACCCTCCAGTAGATCCTGGAGCCCGAAAGGGAAGGTGAGGCTATCAAAGCCTATGGGTGGGGTGTTGAAAGACGGCTTTGGGATGCGGATTGGTTGCGCTCAGCCATTTTAGGGGGCCACATGCGAACCCTACCCCTACCCCCCACGATTTCTGAGGGGGAGGTTGGGGTTCACTTCGTTCGGGAGCTACCGAGCGAAGTGAACCCCACCCTCCCCATCTGAAATCGTGGGGGGTAGGGGTAGGGTTCGCATGTGGCCCCCTACCTTTCCCGCGAAGCCGTATCTTCGCTGTGTATGCGTGGCCTGATGCCTGCAGAGGCTCCTGGAGGAGGAGGAGGAGGAGGAGGAGGAGGAGGAGGAGGAGGAGGAGGAGGAGGAGGAGGAGGAGGAGGGCCCCCGAAGTTCCCTGCGGCTGCAAGGAAGCCTCTGGAGGAGCACCCGGCAGGCCTCGCACGGCTTAGGGGTCTTGGCAGCCCCCCCTTGGGCAAGGCCCAGGGCGGCCAGTCTGGGGCACCCTGGGCCATATGTTTGGATCTCCCTGGAGCACGTTTGTTTATTTGCTGCGATAATGGGCATTATAAGAAGGGGGAGGGGGCAAGGAGGGGTATAATGTAACGCCTACCCCCCGCCGTGTGCCCGATGCGCACGGCGGCAGTGCCTGGAGCGCACTAGGGGGGGAGGGGCGTTACAGTATAGGGGGGAAGGGGGGGAAGGGAGGGAAGGGGCTATAATGCCCATTATGGCCCAAGCAATAAACAAACACGCTCCAGGCTTCTGGCGACAGGCCTGGACGACCACAAGAAGGCCACAAATCGCCAAAAGGATCCCCAGACGCTCCAAGATGGTCTCAAGAGGGCCCAAGCTGGCCCTCGAGGCGGCCCCAGGACGGCTCCAAACCGTTCCAGCCAGCAGACAGTGCCCACTACAACCAGTCGGACGGCTCCAAGAATGGCCTCAGAGAGGGCCCAAACTGGCCCCCAAGACAGCCTCAGGATGGCTCCAAACGTTCCAACCAGCAGACACTGCCCACCACACCCCTCTGGACGGCCCCCCGATATCCCCCAACGACGCCCAAACGGACGAAAGGGCTCCCCAGAAGACCCCGACAGATGACACGTATCCCAAACAAGAGGGCCCCTCTGGTCCACAAAGCCTCTCAAGATCCCAAGAGGCACTTGTGGTCACCCACATGCTCCCTCGACTCCATTGGCCTTGCTCCTTCCCTCCCTCCCTCCCTCCCTCCCTCCCTCCACCGCTCTTCGCTCCATCCTTTTATCGACTTCTCTTGTTCCCTCTATCCAGCGAGATGGCCCCAGCTAACAGCAGGACGGCTCCAACCGGCCGCCAAACGTCCCACAACGGCCCCTTTACCCAGCCAGGCGGCCACCACATATCATCACATATCCACATGTCAAGCCACCCCCAGCACGCACCCCGACAGCATGAGAGCAACCGCAGTCGGCCCAAGAGGCCCGCCAACGCCCGAAAAAAGACCCAAGAGGGCGCCACGGGAGGGCCCGGAGGAAGCCAAGAGGAAGGCCTTCGCTTCCCCCCACAGCTGTCCCAACCAGCCCCTCTTCACGTCTCAGCTCCTTTCCTCGTGTTCCTTCTCCTCCTCGCACTTTTGGCTCCGTTAGTGCGTACAGCCTCCCCGTGGCTTTCCCAGCCTTTTCCTCCTCGCGCGTTAACTCAGCAGTTCGCTGGCTCCTCCCACATTCTATCCCCGTGCTGATCGCGGCGCTCTCGCCAATCATCAGGTGCGGTAGTGCGCTTACTCTTCTCGTGTTCCACATGTTTGTCCCGCTGTCGGCCCCGATGGTTCCTGCACCCTCCCCGAAAACTTTTCAACCCTTCCGCCTGACCCCTGCAAATCCGACTGCCTTTGTACCCCCACGACCTTCGCAACACTACCCTCGTTGCCGTCACGCCGCGCCGTCAGGCGCGGCGAACAGCTTCCTCCGCCTGTGGCCCACGTGGGTCACATCCACTTCCAAGCGTTCCCCAACATGCCCACGACAATGTTGGGCCCCCCACGGCCCTCCAACCCACGACCCTCCAACCACCCCTGCGCTGTGGCACGTCACGCACGCGTGCCCGCACGCTCCCAACCCTTATCCCGTGCGCCGCGCATAATACCAAGACCTTGCCCAGCGAAACGCAAGCTGCAATCGCTGTATGTGTACATATACAAATACCAATATGTGCATGCATATGTACGCATGCATACATGCATACGTGTGTGTACGTATGGATTGTAAGATGTGTGTGTGTGTTAACGTGTGTGTGTATGTATGTATGTATGTATGCATGCATGTATGTATGTATGTTTGTATGTATGTTTGTTTGTATGGAGGGAGGGAGGGAGGGAGGGAGGGCTGGATGTATGCATGCATGCATGTATGTATGCATGCATGCATGAATGTAACTATATGTATATGTATACATGTGTATGTATGTATGTAAGCAAGTAATGTGTATGAATGGATGTATGTATGTAGATATGCCTGTCTGTATGTGTGAATGTGTGCATGTATGTGGATGGATGAATGGATGGATAGATGAATGTATGGATGGATGATGGGTGTATGGATGCGTACGCTTATATATATAATAATAAATATACATTAATGTTTGTATATACGTGTGTATGTAAATGTGTTTGCATTTCCTCATATATATATACTGACACTTATGAGTCCTTACCTCTGGGATAGGTTCGACAACGTGGGGGCCGGACATTGTGTGTATACCATTATACGTTGTTCAATAGATGTGGCACAAAAGATGTGGTATAATATATGGCGTACGATTTGTAATACATTCTACGTAGAGAAATATATGTGGTGCGCTTTTTGTATCAACGTGTAAGTATCGTGGGAATTCAACGAGTTGATTGTTGAAATTGAGGTTCACTACATTTGCTGCATCGATTCACTGTTGCTTCGCTTTTGGTTCACTGGCGGCTCACAGTAGGTCCACTATGATATATCCGAATGTTCTGACAGTGCCGTGAGGGCATGTGAGCGCGACATCAGCAAACGCACAGCGCACGTGTGCAGAATACGCCGTCCACGTCGAACCACGTAAAAAGAGGTATACTGCCAACAAACTGTTTCATCGGATTCGACGCTCACTCCTTTCTTTAAATGCACGTTCTCCACGCGCTCACTCCGTCCACTGCACGTTCCCACTGCAGATGTTGTATTTTCACTTTCCGGACAGGCCGCGGGCGTGGTCTCCATGGCCGAGGTTGCCATCTCCCGCCCAGGGGCAGGCGCGCCCGCTCGTGCGCGCCCTCGGACAGCCCAGGCGCTGGCTGCGACGGCTGGACCGTACTGTGTGGGGCTGGACGGACTGGGTCGGCAGCAGCGCGCCGAGCCGCACGGGCGGTTACGCGTGGCGCGCGCGCGCGCTGGTCAGGGCTGGGCTGACGATCGCGCACTGCGTGCTTCGTGTGCGCGTCGCGCGTCAAGGGCGCAGGGCGAGCAGGTGCGCCATGCGCGACAGGTGCACCATGCGCGCCACGTCGACGGCGAGCGCCAGATGAGCCAGATGCGCCATGCGGGATAGGCGCGCAGCGCCCGTCAAGTGCGCCAAACCCACAAAGATGAGTTAGCTCCGAGGCGCCTTTCCTGGCCGCTGAGGCCGTCGCGCTGGTGATCCCGAGCAGCGGAAGGCCCCTTTAAGGTTCTTGACGAGCCCTCGGCAGCTCCCGGCTGTAAGAAAACACACAACATTAGGAAGTGCAACATGCGTTTCGCCGAGCGGGTGCGCTTTTTATGCGACAGACGCGCCGCTTACAGCGACGTGGGCGATCCCCCCCAGCGATCGAGCCCCTCCACGCGCCCCACTTGACAGCTCTCAACTCTGAGCCAGGCATCCGTCCTGCCTGGGGGGTCCGACAGCAAAGGCCTCCGGGCAGATGGGGTCGGAGGATCGCGCCACATCGCTGGTGCATCGCCGACGCACCGGCGATGCACCTGCGACGTGGGCGATGCCTCGGCGACGTCGTCGTGGAGAAGATCGGGCTCCACATCGAGCCGCACCGCCGGTGCATCGGCAGTGCATCGCGGTCCTCCGAGCCCCTCTACTTCGACCCCACGTGGGAGGCCTAAAGACAGCGACCACCCGAGGCCAAAGTGGGGGAACGACGCTGGGGCTGAAAGCCAGCCCTTCTCTGAGAAATTGGCACCCCCCAGATCGGGGAGACGTAAGACTCGGGTACGGGGGACTCGGGTTGGCCCAACGGGGGCCATCATAAAAATGACGAGAGCCAATCTGAAAAATATGACGCGGGCTCCCGCTGCAGACGTCCCACGGAAACGGGACCGCCAAAACCCAGGACGCGCTCGTCAACAAAAAGTCGGCACAACCCGAGTTCCAGCATACTCGAGTCTTGCGCTTCCCCGACGCGCGGCGGGGACGGCGGGGCGATAGACTCTATCGGCGACGCATCGCCGATTCGAGGCGATAGGCTCCCGATCGTGAATCCGCACCGTCCTGGGTGGGGTGGGGCTGTCGGGCCCCTATCGGCGATCAAGGGGCGATTGGGGATCGAGGCATCCCCCCCCCATGCCCATCCCCCCCTATCGTTTCCCCGACCAGAGAGCGGCGACGCGCGGCGGGGCCGGCGGGGCGCGCCGCGGCGGCGGCGGCCCGGCATCTCGGGGCAGCCGCCGGGGCCGCGGCCCTTCGCTGGCCGGGACGCACCGCCCCGCTGGCCGAGGTCCCGGGGGCGAGGCCGCCCAAGGCCGCCGGAGTCACCAGGGGCCGCCGGGGCCGCCGAGGGACGCCGAGGGCCGCCAGGCAGACCGCGCAGGCGCCGGCGTCAGCGTCAGCGTCGACGGTCGTCCGCGGAAGTCCGCGGTCGTCGTCGTCGGCGTCGTCGTCGGCGTCGGCGTCGGCGTTAGGGTCGGCGTCGGCGTCGGCGTCGGCGTTAGGGTCGGCGTCGGCGTCGTCGGCGGTCGTCCGTCATCGTCGCACTCGTCCGTCGTCGGCGTTGTCGTGGTCGTCGTCGTCCGCCGTCCGTCGGAGGGACTGGTCCTTCTCTACATTCTCCTCCTCCTCCTCCTCCTCCTCCTCCTCCTCCTCATCCTCATCCTCATCCTCATCCTCATCCTCATCCTCATCATCATCATCATCATCATCATCATCATCATCATCAGCATCAGCAGCATCATCCTCATCCTCCTCATCATCATCATCAACAACATCATCATCATCATCATCATCATCATCATCATCATCATCAGCATCAGCAGCATCATCCTCATCCTCCTCATCATCATCATCATCATCAACATCATCATCATCATCCTCATCCTCATCATCGTCCTCGCGCCCCGTGAGCGCTCCGTGCAAAAGAAGGAGTTCCCAACATCACCATCCGACCTGCCCCACCGCTCCTGTAACCGCATCCGCCGACCCTTCGGCGTGAGACGCTTTTCCGTTGGAGCCGTCGTCGTCAGTCCCAAGGAAATTGAGGAACAAGGAAAGGGAACGTCGTAGTTAAGTCGAGAGGAATCGCCGTCGCTTTATCCCTTCCTGCCAGGGAGGGTGGAAGGGGGGGTTCTGGGTCAGAATATCGCCTCCCGGGGCCCCGGCGTGTCCCGGGGGGGGGGGGGGATCGTCAACGGGGGTCCAAGGGGAGGTCCCGCGTTCAGGGTCGGTGGCACCAGCCGCAAGGCGTTCGCAATAATGTATCAATAACGTCGTTATCCTGTCTGTCGCATTCGCGTCGTCCGCTGCGTCTGTGGTTCCGCGACGCATGCCGTCATCGCTGCCATCGGCATCGACACCAAGCAATCTCGACAGGAGTACGTAAACCCGAAACGCTGCCCCCGCTGCGTCAACTGCTCGGCGACTGTCGTGGGGAGTGGTTTAACACGCAGTGTTCTAAAGCAGGTTCTGAGGATCACCGAGCGGCTGCGAAGCAGCATCGGCGGCGAGCCTGGGGGGGGAAGTGCATGGGGGCGGGCCCTCTCCGAAGGCGGCAGGGCCTCTCAGAAGCCCTCGCGTCTTCCGAGAAATGCTCTCGGCCTTCTCCGAAGACAGACGGCCTCCCAGAAGGCCAGGGGGCTCCTGAGAATCGGGGGCGCGCCAACATGGATTAGCGATCGATGGATTTGGCGCGCGGTCGCCAAATCCATGGATCGGGGGAGGTGCCCTCCCCGAAATGCGGCCGGTGCCGCCTCGTTCGGCGGCGAAAATCTGCGATTTCCCATGGAAACGGGACCCGTCGCTAATCCACGCCCCCTTGATCCATGTGTGCGATCGCCTGAGAGAAGCCCCGCCGCCTTCTGAGAAGGCCCGCCCCCCCGTCTCACTTCCCCCCCTCGCGCCGAGCGACGACCCGCCCCATCCGAGGGCGACGGCGGCGGCACCGCCCCCTTCCCCCCGCCCCCGCCGGCAGAGCCGCAGGGCGCGCATGCGGGGCGCGCGGGGCCGCCGACGCTGCCACGGCCCAGGGCGGCGGGGAGGGGGGACGGTTGGCGGCGCGCAAGAGGGGGCAGGGGCAGGGGGGAAGGCTTCGTAGAAGGAGGCTGCTTCTTAGTAGAAGGCGCCGGCCCCGCATCTGTAAGCAAGGCCAGCGCCCTCTAAGAAGCAGGGGTGCCTCCAAGAAGCCTTCCCCCCTCGCCCTACCCCCCCTCGCGCGCGGCCGAGATGGGTTGGGGGGGCGGGGGCGGGCGCGCTGGATGAGAGCGGGCGCGGCGGAGCCTGGAGGACTCCCACCTGCTCTCGCCAGGAAAGCTGCAGCCAGGGTCCAGGATCCCCGAGCAGCGCTTTGTTGGAGCCAGGGTGGCTCCAAATACCAGTGGCGCGTCATCGTCGTCATCCTGCTCCTGACCGGCTTGCGCTCGAGGCAGTCGTCGTCGTCGTCGTCGTCGTCACATTCGTCGTTCATCGTCCGTCGTCGTCGTCGTCGGCGTCGGCGGCGCCGGCGTCGGCGTCATCGTCTGTCATATGTCATCTGTCGTCGTCGTCGTCGTCATCATCAGTTGTCGTCGCACTCGTCGTCGTTGTTGGTCAACGTCATCCTTGTCATCTTCTTTCTCACCCTTCCGCCGAATACTGCATCTCTTCCTACGTACTCCTTCACGTCTCCTCCTGTTAGTCCTCCTCCTCCTCCGCATCGTAGTCGTTCTTCCTTCTTGTCCACTTTATCATACGTACTGCCCCTGCTGCTGTTGCTGCTCGCATTAGGATCCAGGAGGATGCTGCCCGATGCTGCTCACATAAGGATCCAAGAAAGGTAAAAGTGAGAGGTACGATGGCGGCGGCGATGGGGTAGGACAAAGGCCTCTTCTCCAGCCCAGCGCCGCAGATAGTACGTAGCAGGCGGAGCCGTCCACGTAGGCAGACTGGACGGCGCCGCCTTGAGCCAAGGCGGCGGCGGACGAACAACGCATTATATAAATGCCCCCCTTTGGGGTATTCCCTCAATCGTAAATGGCCCGATATGGCCTCTAGAGGACTCCCAATGTCACTAGAGACAAAAAACAATGAGTTTCCCAAGGCTTTGAGCGATTGTGGTGTTCTCGCTGCTTGAACATTCGAAAGCCCATGACAGCCCAAGCAACCTCCAAGATGGTCCTCAGACGGCCCCAATACGGCCCCAGAGGCTCCCAAGAGGGCCCATAGACGGCCCAAGAGGACCCCAAGAGAGCCACAAGGCGGCCCCGAGAGGCCCCCAAGACGGCCGGCCTGAGAAGAGGCCAGACGGCGCAAGAGCGCCCCAAGACGGCCAAAGAGGCCCCCAAGAAACCACCAAGGGGCCCCCAAGAAGCTCCTAAACGGCCCAAGACACCACGAAGAGGCTCGCGGAATTGTATACGAATGGCGCGTCGTTGCTATGCCCATCGGAGTTAGAACGTGGCGCTGCCTTGTGGTGACACGCGGTGAATGATCATTGCCTCGTGGACAGTCGCTCGCTTGTCCTGGCGATGAAACGGGGGGTGGGGGAGGCGCATCCGGATCCGGCCCCCCGTGGCGCTGGCAGCGCTGCGGGGCGGGCAGAGCGACACGGCAGAACTTCGCGGCAGATGAGCCGGGCAAACAACCGAACGCCCAGTCTTTGCGTGCTCCACACGTGCACCCCGCGAAGCGAGAGGAATCCACGGCCCGAGGTGACATGCTGAGCGGCAGCGTTTTCCGCGAAGGCTCACATGCAATGTATGCAATTGTATAGAGTCGCCCCACATCCGCCGACCCAAGATGCCCCCCCAGTCTCGGGCCCAACAACATACCAAAATGTATGGTAATCGATGGTATTTTTATCGGCCTCTGGGGCCTCTTCGGGGTCCAAACAGGCCTGCAAACGGCTCAACATGGCATCCAGACGGGCCAAGCCAGCCCCAAGACGGCCCAAGATGGGTCCAAGAGGGCCCCAGAGGCCCCCAAGACGGCCCCAGAGGCCAAAACATTGATTTTCCCGTTAGTTTTGTCAGATTTTCACGTTCGTGCCTTCTTCGATTCTGGGGGGCCCACGACGGCCCAAGCAGCCTCCAAGATGATCCCCAGAGAGCCCCATGACGACCCAAGAGGGCCCCAAGATGGCCCGATGATGCCCCAAAGGCAGCTCAAGAGGCCCCCAAGACAACCCAAGAGGACCCCAAGAGAGCCACAAGGCGGCCCCGAGAGGCACCCAAGACGGCCTGGGAAGGGGTCAGACGGTGCAAGAGCGCCCCAAGACGGCCCAAGAGGACACCAAGAAGCCCCAAGAGGCCCCCCAGAGTACTGCAAGAAGCCCACAGGGGCCCCCAAGAAACCACCAAGGGGCCCCCAAGAAGCTCCTAAACGGCCCAAGACACCACGAAGAGGCTCGCGGAATTGTATACGACTGGCGCGTCGTTGCTATGCCCATCGGAGTTAGAACTTGGCGCTGCCTTGTGGTGACACGCGGTGAATGATCATTGCATTCGTGGACAGTCGCTCGCTTGTCCTGGTGATGAAACGGGGGGTGGGGGAGGCGCATCCGGCCCCCCGTGGCGCTGGCAGCGCAGCGGGGCCGGCAGAACGACACGGCAGAACTTCGCGGCAGATGAGCCGGGCAAACCACCGAACGCCCAGTCTTTGCGTGCTCCACACGTGCACCCCGCGAAGCCAGAGGAATCTAAGGTGAATGCGAGGCGAAGTTGACCAAGCCCAGTTGCAGGGACCTGTTAGCAGCTCATCCCTCCTATTGCTGCGCCAAGTCTTCCCCTTTGCGTGAAGTAACCTGGTAGCTGTGCCAATTCATCCCCCCTTGCTGCTCCTCTGCCCCTGCTAGCCATATAAGCAGGGTTCGCCATATGATGGCTCGTGTTGCCGATGGCAGTGTGCAAGCCCGATTTTCACAGCGCAGCGAGTCATCTGGCACTATCTGACGCAGACTCGTCGCTCACCCCTGCGTAGTCGCTCTCGCTGGGAGCGATACATGATTACATTGCTGTGCTCTCCGGTCCCCTCCATCTCAGCATCCACTTCACCTTCGTTTGCCTAATCCTTAATCCCCTGCTCACTACGCTACGGATGACGCCATACATCGCGGTCTGAGGTCACACGAAAAATTAGCCTGGCGAAGGACCCAACCATATGCAGCTGTGAGTACCGCAGTGAGTAGATATCTTCGGTGAAGCTCCTTATGGGGGCACGAAACGTGTGAGGGTGTGCCAAAGTGGGAAGGCGGCGGCAAGCGGGCACTGCCACTGGGGCCTTCGGTGGAGCTCCATACAAGGCCTTTGGCGTGGCTCCTTCTGTCCGTGATCTGTTCGATTGGGCCAAGACCCGTGTCAGCGGTGTGCCGGAAAGGGCGGAGAACCGCATTCAAACGTCGGCCCAGGAGCCTTCGATGAACTCTCTTTGGGGCGAGTAAACATGTAAGGGGTATGCCGCAAAAGGCGGGGAGACGCATGCGAACGGTTTCGCCTGGGCCTTCGGTGGAGCTCTGTATGGCGCCACGAAACGTGTGAGGGCTGTGCCGAAATGGCTGGGGGGGAACGCATGTGGAAACCGCCACTGCGGCCTTGGGTAGAATTCCCTATCAATCGTGTCAAGGGTGTTCCGAAATGGGTGGGGGGACGAATGGGAATGGTGCCACTGGGACCTTCGGTGCGGCTCCCTTTAGGGCCACGATGCGTGTGAGGGGTGTTCCGAAATTGGTGGGGGGACGCATGCGAACGGTGCCACTGGGACCTTCGGCGGATCTCCCTATGGGGCCACGAAGCATGTGAAGGGTGGCCGAAATGGGCGGGGGGAACGCATGCGAACGGTGCCCCTGAAACCTTGGGTGAAGCTCCCAGTGGGGACACGAACCGTGTGAGGGGAATGCCGACATGAGCGGGGGGACGCATGCGAACGGTGCCACTGGGACCTTAGGTGGAGCACCCTCTGGGGCCACGAATCGTATGAGGGGTGGAGGGGGCGCATGCGAACGGTGCCACTGGGACCTTCGGTGCGGCTCCCTCTAGGGCCACGATGCATGTGATGGGTGCGCTGAGGGCCTCCCTATGGGGCCAAGGACCGTGTGAGGGGTGTGCTGACATGCGTGGCGATGATAGTCATGATGACGGCGGTGATGATGACAATGACGGTGATGGTGACGGCGATGATGATGATGACGACGATGATGACGATGATGATGATGATGATGATGCTGACGGCGATCATGGTGATGGTGATGGTGATGTTGATGATGATAATGATGATAGTGATGCTAACGGTGATGACGATGCTGATGATGATTATGATAATAATGATAGTGATGATGATGATGATAATGCTGCTGCTGATGATAATGATGGCTATGATGATGATGCTGATAGTGACGATGATGGTGACGAGTGATGCGGTTGATAATAATGGTGATGATGATACTGATAATGATGAGAATGATGATGCTGATGATAATGAGTATGATAATGCTAATGGCAATAATGATGAGGATGATGAAAATGATGCTAATGATGCTAATGGTAATGATGAGGATGATGATGATCATGATGATGTTATTGATGCGAATGATGAATATGCTAATGATGAAAATGATGCTGATGCTGATGCTGATGATGATGATGGTGTTGATAATGATGATGCTGATGAGGATGAGGATGAGATTGAGGATGAGGATGAGGATGAGGATTAGTATGAGGACGAGAATGATGATGGTGGTGCTGCTGCTTGTGATGAACATGATGATGATGATGATGATGATGATGATGATGATGATGATGGAGGAGGGGGAGGAGGAAAGGGAGGAGAAGGAGGAGGAGGAGGATGAGAGGAGGAGGAGGGCACGAAGCTCGGCGGGCCGGTTGGGCTTCAACCACGCCTAAGCCTGCATGCGATGGAGCGCGGCCAACCTCACGGAGGCCCGCTGGTCGACGCCCACGGCCAGCCCCACGTCCATCCTGTACTTCTGGATGTGGTAGCACAGGCACATGAGGCCGATGGTGAAGATGCAGTCAACGTGGGACCGCTGCGTGTGGTACATCTCGTCGCCGAGCCCGAGGAGCTCCAGGCCACTGCCGATGGCGTCGGCACCCCCAGCGCCCGCGGCCATCTCCCGCAAGGTCGGGCAGCGCACGTAGTGCTCCAGCGCGTCCTCACCGTCGCAGCCGAAGATGCACTGGCGCGCGTCGATGACGGCGCTCATGCGACGCGAGGTGGTCCAGCCGTTGACCGCCGTGCGCAGCCACGACCACATCCAGGCAGGGCGGACCTCCGTCAGCTTGCAGCGCAGCGGAGGCCATCTCTCACGCAGGACGGGCAGCGGACAGTCGATCCCCCACCTGCGGAGCCGTCGGTGGATGATGGCGACGAGGTCCTCAGGGTACAGCATGCCGCGGAGCGCTGCCGCAGCCGCGGCTTGGCGCTTGGGCTTCCTGGCAGGGGTGGCAGCGGCCGCGTTCTTCGCCTCCAGGAGCATCGCCGTCTTCGCCTTCAAGATGCACCTGCGCGGGATCGGGATCGGGAGCGAGTCCAGCGTCGGCCTTGGAATGTCGAGCATGTCGAGGGAGTCCGAGACCATGGCGTAGTTCTGTACGATCGCCCTTCTCGTACGCCACCACGGCGGTGACCAGTTGCCCTTGATCACATGGGCCAGTGGTACGTGTTCCACTGCAGCTTCATGTAGGTGGCGGAGGTGCACCTCCCAGCCCCTCACCGTGTTCTCCGCGGAACGCATCATCGCGGCAATCGTGTACGGGAAGAGGCCAATCGGCGCCGGCGAGCCACACCACGCGCTCATCGAGAGGATGTCCGCCTTGCGCATGGAAGACGGTGGCAGTCGCAGCAGGCGGTGCAAGGAGGTGAACTCGACCTTCCAGATGGCGGGCACGATGAAGTAGAACTGAGCCAGGTACGAGAGGCACGGCAGCGCGTTGATGTTGTATGCACGGGCAGCAAGGCTGGTGGCCATGCCCGCGCGCGCCAGCTCCCAGCAACGGGACCACCACTTCCCCGCCGCAGCCTTCCAGATGCCAAAGTCCGTGACGCCAGGGCCCAGGTATGTCCCGAGGTACTTGGCCGATGAGTCAATGCGGAAGCCACTCCAGCGTGGGACCGCCACCGCAAGGAATGACTTGACGTTTTGCAGTGTGTTGTCCGTGATCTCCTCCCACAGCGGGACCAGCACGCACTTGTGGAGTGCCAGCCGCAGATTGAAGGCGCACTCGATGGAGACGAAGGTGCGATCGATGCTCGGCAGAACGACTGCGTTCTTGATCAGCATCCCGAGGTCGTCCGCGCAGGCTGTGAGGGATCCGTGCTCGGCGATCGCGGCTAGCAGAGCGCGGATGGGAGCATCCATGGCCAGACACCAGACCGTGCCAGAGAGCGGGCATCCTTGCATGATGCCGCACATGAGGGCAAACAGTGGCTCCAGCTCCGCGCTGGTGCCCTCGGCTCGGAAGGAGCTGAAGGCGAGGCAGTTGCTGTAGAGCGCCATGATCACGTTGCGAAAGCCCAGCGGAACCCCGTAGCGCGGGAGGACCTTCTCGATGACTTCCCTGAAGAGCGATGGGAAGGCCTGGCGGAAGTCGAACGACAGGAACATGGGGCGGCGGGCCGCAGCATCAGGAAGGAGTCCTTCCCTGCGGCATTCTGCGTCCAGGAAAGGGATGTGGTCGACGAAGCGCCGCCCCGCAGTGAAGCCCTTCTGCTCGGGTGAGGTAGATGATGTGGCAATAGGCTGCAGTCCTCGATCCGCGCATGCCGCAATCAGCTTGGCGTCGCAGTTCTTGAGGGAGAGAGTGCGCACGGTGGATGCCGTGCGAGTGCATGAATCAGGGACGTCGTCCTCCTCCGTGCCCTTGGGGACGCAGATGAAGATCGACCAGTTGAGGTCAAGCGGGGCGACTCCGTCGTTGAAGATGGTCTCCATGAGTCCGTGTAGATGCTGCAGCGCACCAGGGCTGCGTCGCCATGCAGCGTACGTGAGTTGGTCTGGTCCCGCAGCGCTTGGGGGTGCTCTGCTGACCGCTCGTTCGAGGTTGTGGAGGGCAGGTTGGGGAAGTTCCACCACCGGGTACCGCGGAGCATGCTTGTCCAAGAAAGAGCCCATGGCCTTGAGCTGCTCATCGTTCGGCAACTTCGCGAAGATCTCTCCCCAGTAGTTCGCCACAATCGTCTTCATGCCCGTGGGGTCGGAGACCACATGCTGAGCCACCTGCGAGTCCTTGGCGGAACACGGTGTAGAGTCCACGCGCAGGCCAGAGAGGATCATGCGACGCCGCCAGGGGACCCACAGCTGAGCGTGTCTGGCGGCCTTGCGTTCAACTCTCCGCCAGGCTGCGCTGTCGCGCACGTTGGCTGTCCGAGCTGCGGCCTCCGCCACTTGTCTTCTCATAGAGTGCACCCGCTCAGCAATTGCGTCGAAGTTGGTAGCAAAGCTGTTGGTGTCCACAATGCGCACGGTGCCGTCGGTGACTTTGAGGTGGGTCGCCAGCGAGGGGCAGGAGTCAAGAAGCCTGCCCGCCAGGACGGCGTCCTGTCGCCAGACGGCTCTCGCCGCCGATTTGAAGCCCATGTACGAGGTCTCGGCCGTGGAGTCCTTGACGAGGAGGGAGAAGTTGGTTCTCAGCTGTTCATCCCGCACACGTCGAGCGGCTAGCTTCATGCACTGCTTCGCTGCTCTCCAGCGCCCTTCCGCCGTTTCCCCCTCCAAGGAACAGTGCGCCAACATGAGCGCATAGGTCTCGGGGTACTTCTTGTGGTTGAAGAGGTGTGTCGGAATAGGCTGCTCATCTCGCGGGACGTGTCGAGCAGGAGTGATCTGCAAGACGAGGGGCGCGTGGTCGCTGATGCCAGCCTCGGAGAGCTCCATCGCATCCCTCGCGGTGGTCAGGATTGTAGAGACCGACAGCATGGCGCGCGCGTCAATCCCCACGAAGATGCGGTCGATCGTGGACAGCTGCTTGCAGGACTTGTCGTAGTGAGTCGGCCATTGTGATTCAATCTCCAAAGCAGCAGCAAAGAGGCGCCGCCACGCTGGTTGACGTAGTTGGCAGCGATTGTCAGGTCGTAAGCGCCACGCCGTAGCGTCAGAGGGTGCGCGTTGGCTGACTGGCGGGCGAGAGGCAATGTTGAAGTCCCCGACGGCCAGAAAGACGCGGTGCAAGGAGTCGCGGCGCGCCCAGGTAAGGCCACTTGACCAGGTGCGCTGAATGGCGGAGAACTCGTGCGGCTTGAGGTCGTAGTTGTGAATGTTGAGGATCTGCATGCTGCACTTGCCCGTGCTGTCGGTGATCGTGAGGAGCGCCGCACGGCCAGCGGCCACAGAGACGAAGCTGTAAGACGGTAGGGCTGGAGTGGCGTTCCGTGAACTCGACTGGGTGTCGACTGGCTTCGTCGTGGGCGTCGGAGGGGGACTTCGTGAGCTTGACCGATTGGTGGTGCGACTTGTAGCCGATGAAGACGAGGAGGTACGTGCACTTGACCAGGGATCATGAGTCGGTAAGGATGCTGCAGGGGGTGCGGCGCACGCATGGGAGCCTTCCCGCGGCGCGGCACCCCTGCATCCCAGAGATTCGGCTCTGGGTCCTTCCGCCCTTGGACATTCATCGATGATGCGCGGGACGAGAAAGGCAACACCCCCCACGGCGGCGGTGGGGCCAGGGGAGAGGAAGCTCATGTACTTCTGCGGCTGCGCCTGGAGGAAGATCCTGAGCGCGTCCTCGGAGCCGTGGACCTCTTGCACCGCGATGATGGCATTGACCTTCATGTACGATGCGAGCAGCGCCTGCTTGCGCCTGCGCAGCCTGGCATCCGAATGGAGTAGGCCACGAGCATTCCACACGACCATGTGAAGGCCACGAAAGCCATGTCGTGCTCCAGGAGGGCGCCAGGGCGCCCACAGCGGCGTGCTAAATCCACTCGGTATTGTCCACCACGGAGAAGGCCTTCTTGAACTGCGCGTTGATGGACTCCCTGTCGATGTGCAGCCTGGCCACCATGTCTGGGTTCCACCTGATGATCGTGTCGATGTGTCGGGATTCGCCCATCTCGAGCTTGGCAACGTTGACGCCCTGGGAGGTGACGATGCCCCGTGCTCGCTGCGCACTGAAGGAGATGCCAGGATAAGCTTCTGCGAGCAAAGTCGAGAGCCTCCTCGACTGGATCTCCATTCGCACTTGCTGGGGCGACTTGTCGGGCGATATGTACAGCGGGACGGTGCCTCCTCCGACGCTCTGCGCGCAGAAAGCACGCCACCCGTTCCTGCCAGCGGGGTCTCGAAGCTGCCGAGCGAGGGCTTGGGCACGGGGAAGAGCGACGCTGTCGCCACCCTGCACCAGGACGTTGAAGCGTTTGGATGGGACAGCGGGGTCGAGGCAGACCATGTCATTGGTGAGGCCAGCAGCGCGAATCCAATCTTCGAGGCCTTGCAGCGCCTGCGCGGGACCAACCAGCTGCGGAGCGCCGATCGAGAAGACCCTCGGGTTGGGCTGGCGGCCCCACGCCTCCAGCTCTTGGAAGTCCATGAGGGGGAGCTCCTTCTCCGCGATGGCCAGCACCTTGTTGATGTCACCGATCTGTTTGCGCATGGCAGCCTGCTCGGCCTCCAGCGCGTCGGCTCGCTGACCGATGGCGGCGATGTCGCGTGTCTGCACGGCGAGGGATCTGTTGACGGCCTCCTGCTGGGTCTGGAACATGCGCACCAGCTGAGTCTGGCAAGACGTGACTTGCGCCATGGAGGTGGCAGCGATCGCATCAGTGGCCTGACGAATGCAGCTCTGGAGCATGGCCTGCATGTCCGTGCTGCCCGCGTCCACAGGGGTGGCCATCCCGCCGATGGGAGTGCCAGCCGCGGGGGCCGCAGCGTGTCCGTCAGCAGGAGCAGCGCGTTCATGCCATGGATCTCCACCAGGATGTTGCCACGGATCAGCTTGAGCATGATGGGGTCCCACTGGGGGCTTGCCCGTGGTAGTCTGCTCCACCTGCATGTCCATCCGCTCCTGCGTGGGGAAGGTGGGCGCGGCCTCGAGGGCGGCGGCGAGCTCCTCTTGAGCAGCACGGTCGAGACCATCGGGGGCATGCCGTGCTCGATCACTGGCTGGGGATCCCGAGGCGTCGGCTTCGCCGTCAGAGCGAGGGTGGCCCCGCCGAGCGCGCCTCCGCGCCGGGGCGCGCTCGTTGGTGCTGCGGGAGGCGGAACGAATGTCCTCGGGCGGGGGCTCCTTTCCTTTGTCAGCTCGCCTGCGGCCGTCAGCAGCACCAGGACCACGGTGGCCGCCACCAGCGCGCCCAGCCCTGCGGCGCTCCTCCTCGGCCGCCATGAGTTGCGATGGAGAGCCCTCGCGGGCACGAATCTGTGGGTCCAGGTGGACCAGTCTTTGGCGGCAGCTCGCCCTGGGGGTGGCTGCAAAGGAATCTCGACTCCTGGCCGCGGCACAGCGGTATCCATTTGGACGCCGCCGCGCGCCATGACCTTGAGCCAAAATGGCTACGGAGGAGGAGGAGGAGGAGGAGGAGGAGGAGGGGAGAGGAGAACGCGGGGCGCTCTCCTCAAAACGAGGACCTAACACCACGGGATGGTTAGGAAAAACATAACTCGGCAAGACCCTCACCCACCCACAAAAAACTCGTAGCGTGGAAGATGCCACAGGCATTCGGACAACAAAAAGGCCCGTTTCGCGAAGCAGGGGAGCTACGAAGTCGAAGTCAGCGCACCCAGAAAGCAGGAGTTGGAGCCGCACGGGAGCATTGCCACGGGCAGCCACGCCGTGTGCCCACGGACTCTGAGGAGCCGTAGCACTCGCGCGGCCTGGCGCCCGCCCGGCAGACCAGGACACGAGCGGCAACGGCGGAGTGCGAAAGAACACCCCGAGCCCCGCCGGAACAGCCCCGGTGGAGCGAGCAGAGGCAGCCGGCTCTCGAGTGGCAAGATCCGGCACCACGCCCACCGCACGGCCCAGCACGTGCGCTGCAGCACGTGGCTGGGCCACACCTGCCGCCCGGGCCGGCAGAGACAGCCCAACAGACGCGGGGTCGCACACCAACAGAGCTGCGTGGCGGACACAGCGAAGGAGCACCGAGGGCACGGGCAGCCGGCGGCCCCGAGACGCGCCGAATCCGGGCTGCGCGCCTCCACGGAGCACGTCCGCAGCCGGCGGTGCTGCTTCATAGCTCCTCCCTCTTTCTCTGCGTCTGGGCCCCGGGGGGCTACTGGAGGGAAAAATACCCATGTCAGACAACGCCATGCTATTAGCCGACCAACATCGAGAAGGGCCACCGGCTGTGGTGCGTAACTAGCTGCCGTTGGAAAAAGTTCCACCAGGTGGCACCAGGGCAAGGCGTCTCGAGAAAGCCACTGCCCGCAATGTGTAGCCAAAAGCCACTGCCCGCAATGTGTAGCCAGCCCCACCCTTCGCAGGCGAGCACGAAGAGCAGGGCGATCAAGAGGAGCCGGAGCCCAAGAGGAGCCAGAGCAGGAGCAAGCGCAGGAGGATGAGGAGGAGGAAGAGAGCAGGAGCAAATGCAGAGGGGTCAGGAAGATCAGGAGGACCAGCAAAAAGACAGGGAGGCGCGAGGAGAGAAGGCGGAGGAGGAACCGCAGAGAGAGGCGGAGCAGAAGCAGCGAGCAGCAGCGGGAGCAGCAGCGGGAGCAGCAGCGGAAGCAGGAGCGGCAGCGGAAGCAGGAGCGGCAGCGGATGCTGGAGCCACAGGAGCAGCTCTAAGAGACCCGCGTCCGTTGTGTTGCAACGAGGGCCACTCGGCCTTACGATCTGCCACATCCTCCTGAACCAGCCTCAGTCCACCACCTCCACCCTGCCCCAGCAAAGGCCCATGCTGCTGCGCACTCCCCCGAAGCCCATCGCGAGTGGGTCGGCAGCCTTACTTCTTGCCCTTGCCCTTGCCCTTGCTGCCGCCTCCGTAGGGGTCGCCGCTCCACCCCTTCTGGAAGCCAGCCCTGAAGATCTCGCTGATGCTCGGGCCGTAGCCCCAGTCGCCGCCGCCCTTGCCGCCCCAGCCACCGCCCCAGCCGCCGCCCCAGCCGCCGCCCCAGCCGCCGCCCCAGCCGCCCCACATGTCCCAGCCTTTGCCGCCCTTGCCCTTTCCACCATAGCCGCCCCAAGGATCCCAGCTGCCCCAGGCGCTCCACGGATCCTTGCCGCCGCCCTTGCCGCCGTCGCTCCAGCCGTCGCCAAGGGCGTTGCTGATGCGAGTTTGTAGCACGGCCGTAGGGTTGTTGGCGCCCCGCAGCGAGCCCCTCGAGATGATTGCCTTCTGCTGCGCGGCGCTCAGCCCCAGGAACTTGGCCTTCACGTCTTCCTCCACGTCGTGACCCTGCAGCCACACTTCGGGATCTGGGATCTCCCCAGGACTGCTGTCGACCCTGGGCGCGCCGCAGTTTCGGCACTCCGCGTTCTTGGCGAACTGGAGGTCGCAGCACTTCGGGCACCACCAATCCCCTGGCCGCCCGGCTAGGGTCCCCAGGGCACTGATGCGCTTTATCAGGACCGCGGTGGGGTCTCTCGCCTCCCGAAGAGTCCCCCGATCCATGACGCTCTTCTGCAAGTCCGGGGCCAAGTTCCTGAACTCTTCGGCTATCTCTGCTCTCACATCGTGCCCTTGTCCGCGGACCCCCACTTGCTGCGCGTGAAAAGGCGTGTGAGATGATCGGCTGTCCCACCTTCCCCTTCCCCCCTCCCGTCGATGGACAAAAAAGTGGAACCCTTGACTCTGCCCCCTCCCCTCCCCCCACATTCAAAGTTGTTCCCAGACGTTCAAGACCGCAGGCTTAAAAGGACGAAAAAATAGAAGCCCCCGGTGCCTCCACCACGTCGGAGCCCACTTTTGAGTCGGGTGGAAGGGGGGGGACGAACATGGCATCGACGACGAGGCGGTTCCACTTCTTTGTCCGCTTACCGTCCCTTGGGGTCAAAAATCCCGTTGGAAGGGGGGCGGGGCAGGGGCGACTCCCTACGAGCTCGTCGGCGCCTGGAGCCTCCAAATCCACCACCCGTGGCCGCCAAGATGTCCACGATGCTTTGCAAGATGGCTGGGAAGGGCTCCAGCATTCAGGAGAGGCCTGCAGAGCACCAACGATGTCCTCAAGACGGCCCAAGACCCCCCAAGGCGCCCCAAGAGGGCCCCAAGAGGACCTCGATAGGCAAACATCCATGACTTCCCCAGAGGGCCCCAAGAGGCTAAAATCTGTTGACCTTGTGTCGCTTTCACCTCTGTGAGGTCTTCTGAAAATCCTGCACGGCCCGAGAGGCCCACCAGGCCGGTCCGGGAACCCGAAAGAGGCCTCCGAGAGGGCCCGAAAGACAGACGAAGGGCCCGAAGACGGGCCGAGAGGAGCAAAAACCCTCGAGGGGCGCCCCGAGAGGCAGGTCCACGAGGGGGAACTTGCAGGGATCCCATGGGGCCCTCCCCCGCAGGAGGGCCCCATCGGACCCACGACGCACATCCGAGGCCGCCCAAAGAGGCGCCCAAGAAGCCCCCGGCGAGCCCCTCAAAGCCCCCCCCAGTTTTGCGAAGGCTCCAAGGGGACCCCCCGAGAGGCGGGCCCAACAGACGCGGAGAAAGGGGAGGGGCAATCAGCAACACGTGCACGCAGGCAGCACGGCGGGGAGGGTAAAACAAGGCATGCGAAATGTCAGCCCGCAGAGCCGCCGACCCTATCGGCGTGTGTGAGGGGCCTGTCCGCTCGAGTCGTCGTGGCCGTCATGCGATGGTCGTCGTCTCTGTCGTCTCCTCTCCCTGCGGCCCCCATTTCCCTGGGCCCGTCGCCGCTCCCCCCTTTTCCTGTGCCCTCCTCCTCAAGCGCGCCAGCCAAAGTGAAAGTGAGCAACGTCGCAATTCAGTCGAAGGGAAGACCCTTCCCTTTGATCCATCCCCCGTCGGCGGGGGGGGTCCCAGGAGGGTCCTGGGGGGGGGTCCCAGGGGGGTCACCACCCAGATGCGACTCCCCCCCGGGTCTGATTACTAGAGCTCGTCCTCAGGATCGGTCACGCTGGTGACGATGAGGAAGAGCAAGAGAAAGTATGTGTCGATGTCAATTATCTTGATAATTGTCAGTGAACACCTTTTGTCCACAATATGAACGGCCGCGCTGTAGTGTGCGCGGTCTGCCTGGCACGGCCAGGCTCTGTCAGAAAGAGTCCCGCCCTCCCTCGCCTTGAGCCGAGGGTGGCGGTGGAACGGGCAGGGCAGACGGGCAGGAGACAGCTGCTGCTCAAGCTTACTCCTGCGTATCTTTCAGACAGGGGGAAAAAGGTTCTGCCCTGTACCGTGCGTGCAGGCAATCTCTGCGCTCCGTGTGTGCTGCTGGACGAACTTCTGATGGGCCTCGATCTCCTGCTGCAACTTCTGGATCATGATCAGGGATTCGGAGGCCGAGAACCCAGTAGAGGTCGTCGAGCTGGAAGGGTTCCCTTCCATGCTGGCTGGTGGTTGTGCCTGGCGGGCCAACCTACGCTCCTCGAGTACCTGACGAGCTGAGGCCGGGTCGGTCGGGTCCGTCTCGTCGAAGATGCCCTTGCCAAGAGCTGCCCGCTTGCGTGCGCTCATGAACTGCTCGTCGTAGATGAGGCGCCATTGCTGCTTCTCGAGGAAGGCCCGGACCACTCCGAATGCCTGCCAGCTTGCCTTGGTTAGGCCGTCGGCGATCTGTGCGTGTGAGTGAACCCAGCGCACGACCGTTTGACCCTCGTCCAAGGCACTGCGGAGAGCCAAAGCCTCGATGGCTGTCCTCCGCTCTTCCAGTCCCAGTCCCGCCGACTGAGATCGCACCACGCCGTCGTAGAAGGCCTTGCAGTCCGTCACCAGGATGGCTGGCAATCGTCGTAGTGCTGCTGCGGTATCTTGCAGTGGAGACATATTGTGTAGAAGTTCGGCAAGGACCAGTCGCACCATGCTCTGTTCGCCTTCGGCGTCGCCGGCTTCCTGCACCTCCGCCGCCAGGCTTGACCGAGCCACGCGGCGCAGCTTCTTGGAGCCCCAGTCGAGGACCGTGAACTCGGAGAGCTTCCCGTCCATGGCCGCCTTGGAGGAGATAGCGGTGATATGACCACCCTGAGAGTGTCCATCCGGGCGGCTGGCCCAGGCTGCGTCGCACCAGGTGAAGATGGCGAGGTCGTCTAGGGCGTGCCGGTAGATCCTGATCCCCATGTGGCGGCTCTGCTTGACGAGCTTGACGATGTTGTTAGCGGCCGTGAAGAGGTTGTGAGTATCTGCTGGTATCTTCATCTGGAGGTCTGCTACCCACGATAAGAGAAATGGCATGGTATTCACGCCAAGCCAGTAGATCTCGCCGCAGAACGCCCTGAGCACCGTCTTGTCAGAGTCCTTGAGGCTGTCGGTGGTCCGATGCTTACTGCCGCTGGCCGCCTTGACCTCCTTGATCTTGTCGATGTACGACTTCTGGTGGAGGAAGAAGCCCTGCTCGCTCTCCTCGATGGTGACGCCGCACTGTTCGAGAGAGGTGAGCCCGTCATTCATGTCCTCCCAGGTGCCCCACTTGTAGAGCCCTCGGATCTGCATGACCATGTCCTGCCACTCAGGGTGGGAGGTATCTCCTGCCATGATGAAGTCGTCGACGCGGGCCATGATCATACCGATGAGCATACCCGTCCTGGAACATCGTGCTTTCCAGAGGCAGGGCTCCAACTCGCAGGCTTGGAGTCGTAGTTTCGCAAAGTCGTGCTTGACCGTCTCCCACCAGTGCCGGGGCGCCTCGCCGATCCCATATCCAGGTTTCACGACCTGGAGGATTTCCCCTTCCTGCACGTGGAAGGCCTTTCTGAGGACGGCATCTGGCTCGATGAAGAGGTCCTTGTCGAGGTCGTGGGCCTGCAGAAAGGCGGAGGTGACGTCGCCCTTGATGAGCTTCCAGCGGTTCGCGGCGGCCACTGTTAGCATCACGTGACGGGCGCGCCGAGACGCGGTGGGGCTGGCTGTCGGCTCCTGTCCGAGGTCCTTCGTCTGGTAGCCGAGGAGGACGAGCCGGGCCTTCGCCTTCCCATCGGACTTGCGGGTGAAGAGCCACCTTGCCCGGATGACGTCCGCCGCGTCCTTGACCCGAGATGTCGGGACAGCGCGGAGTCCCTGATGCTGGATCCAGTTGTTCGTCTCCTTGGCGATGGCTGCCTCGAACTTCTCACGCTCGGTGGCGTTCATCTTGGACCAGGTCAGCTCCACCTTGTCCTTCCGGCGCTGGTTGACGACGAAGCTGTCCAGGATGTGGCTCATCAAACCTCGGCGTCCGTCTGGAGTGGTGTTCTCGTCCTGCAAGTACTCGAAGTAGACGGTCTGCTGTTCGTCGATGCCGAGGGTGATGTCCAGCTTGTCCTTGAAGAGGTCGACCAGGTGGTTGCTGTCGAACAGCGCGTCGGCCATCTCCTCGTCTGCGCCTTTCTGTCGCTTCTCCGGCGGTACGTGCAGATCGAGCTCTGGTCCGCGGTGTGTCATGCGCCATCGAGGTCTCGACTCGCCTCGGGATGCGGCACCGGCCGCCGATGAGGTCGAGGTCGCGGGAGGCGGACGCGATGCTGTTCGAGACTCCGTCCTGACTGCCGCCGAGGTAGATGCTTTCCCTGGCGTTCGTGATGGGGCTGCTGACCGGTCAGCTGCACGAGCCGGTGGTGACCGGGACCGTCGGACATCAGGTTCACTCGGTTCCACTTCAGGTTGCGTCGCTGAGCTTGGTGTTGGTGGCCTGGAGGAATCAGGAGCGCCGGGTGTGTCGTTGTCGGCGCCTGAGGGGAGTCCCGCCTCGCTGTTGTTCTCCAGAGTCTGGCCCTCGGTCGCGGGGATCGCCATCGTCGGCTGCGGTGGAGGCTCGTATTCTCGGAGATCTGGAGGATTTTGTCCGAGAAGGTCTTCATAGGTACCGCCCTTGGCTGACTCCAAGATCTCCGTCATGGTCTTGCCAAGGTTGCTCTGCCGCTGCAATTCGAAGATCATCTTCTCTGCCTCCGAGGCGACGCGTAGCTGCTCCGGGGCGCACCTGATGAGCACGCTCCCGTGGGAGATCCAGATGACCGAGGTAGGACGGGCGCGCCCGTCCACGTGTCGTTTTTCCTGAGCAAGGACACGAGCAGGGCCGTACCATCCGCCCTTCTTCCCAGGGCGAGGGTCAAGGCCTTTCCCTTTGCGCCAGAAGTAGACGAGGTCCCCCGGATTCCAGGTCTGATAGACCCGGTTGCGGGCCTGTTCGGCGTGTCGACGACGCTCAGCATACTCTACTTCCAGGAAGCTTTTGCGCGCGAGGAGGCGCCTCCCCGGTGTCCCCGTCAATGATGGCGAACGGGTTGCTCGAGGCCGGCATCCCAGAGACGCCCATCACGTGCTCGAACGGGGAGTGGTTGCCGACCTTGTCCATGCTGTTGATCGCGCTCACGGCCCAGGACACCAACTCCTCGACCGGGCAGTCGGGGTCCAGCGTTGCCAGCTTCGTCATCAGTCGCTTGAAAAGCTGGATGCGCCTCTCGACCTTGCCCATCAGCCAGTGAGCCTCGCCCGGGGCAATCCACAGCTCGATGCCGCGGTCCGAA